GTCTGTTCCCCTTCCTCCAATTCCCCAGCACTGTTCCCATCCCCCCAATTCCCCAATAAAAATCTTAAAAAAAAAAAAGAGGCTCCAAAGAGATCCCCAGCCACTTTCATTCTATGGAGACACCAGAAAATGACCATGCCCCATGATTTTGGACTTCCAGTCTTTATAAGTGAGAAATCAAATCGTTGTTCATAACCTACCTAATCTGTGGTATTTTGTTATAGCAGCCTGAGTGGACTAAAGACAGAAGGCCTTTCATGCTTGTGCTAACTATTGTTCAGTCCACCATGACAATTGTTGAGTGAGCTCCATGGTGGCCACACACCCTGGTTTCTCCCGGGTGGACCCAGCTTCTGGTATCTTGTCTTATCACCTGTCGCCTCCTGTGTGTCACACCAGGTGAGGCTGGGGGTCATGTCCTTATGGCCCACCTTGGCCCACTCAGGAGACTGGCCAAAATAAGAGAACTCCTGCTTCATGAGACAGCTGGATGTCCCCCCCACACACACACCACCACTCCCTCCTTGAGCCTTGAGCATAAGGGAACAGAGATCATAAAAAGTCACAGAGAAGAGTGGACGCTGGGCAAGGATGTCTGTAGAGCCTGAGTGGAGCTAGTGAACCAGAAATGAAATGCCCTGGGAAGGGCTGAGCGGGTGGGAGCTTGTCCCCTAGAAGCCAGTTTTGAACTCTTCTGACTAATACTGCTTGTGGCTCAACTGCCCCGAGGCCACACAAGGCAGTGTCACAAAGGGAGGAGTGAGGTCCCCTTCTAGCTCAAAATTTCCTGCCTCAGCTAAGCAGGTGAATGCCTGGGCATGTGGTTCTACTGCCCAGCATCTGCAGCCTTCATTTTTCCATCTGGTTTAGGGTGCGGAGGGACTGTGGGCTCAGACCACACCATTCCTGCCTCTTCACCTGGCTACAGCTCACACTTTGCTGAAGTAGGTGGCCACCTCCTTGCGTGCAGGTTGGGGCCCACCCCCAGCCCAGCCGTTGCCCATCAGCGGCTCCTCCTGGCCCACCCGCAGGGGCGGCTTGCATTTGTGCCAGTTTGTGAGCAGCCTGTTCACGGCGCCTTGATCGGTGATACCTCGTAGCTTCTCCCTCTCCTCGGCACCATCAGTGGTAGCTGGGGCCGCTGAGCCCGCAGGGGCTGTGGCTAGTGCCCTGTGGGTGTGACCCAGCTCCAGGTCATGGTTCATGGCTTCAAAGAACTGCTGGATACAGACCTTGGCGAAGGCCTTGGCGTGTTCTGTGCATGTCTCATCGAAGAGCTTGCGCTCGATGTCAATATAGTGGGACCAGTACTTGCTTTTGAGGAAGGCGGCCTGTGTGAAGCAGGGCCGCACAGAGCGCACGATGAATGCCAGCAGTGTGGTCAGCAGCACAAAGGACCAGCCCAGTGCCTGCAGCAGAGAGAAGAGGGAATCAGCTTGGCACTGCCTTCTGGCCTCCCAAGCCTGTCCAGACCCCCAAAGCACTCTCTACGTGAGGGCTTTTAGGAAAAAGAGCACTGACTGGGCAAATGACTTCACCTATTGGCCTCCATTTCCACATCTGTAAAATGGGCACAGATATACCCATTTCATGAAAATCAGATCATGTGAGTAAAATGCCCCATGTGTAGTCCTGGCACTCACAACACAGGAGTTAACTGGATGGACCCTGGAGTTAGCTGCCTTGGTTTGGACCTTGTCTCCATTACTTACTAGTTGGCCAGGAGAAAGGTACCTGATTTCTCTGTGCCTCAGTCTCCCCACATATAAAATGAGGCTGGTGATAGTACCTAGCTCATAGGGTTATTATGAGGACTAAATGTGATATTAAACTTAGTACAGTGCCTGGTACCTAGTTAATGTTCAGTAACTGTTAGCCACTATAATTATGTCAATAGGTCCTCGCTGACCACGCCTCTTCCTTCAGGAAGCCTTCCTTGACTTCCCCAGGCCATAGCAACCCTTTCTCCCCTGAGTTCTGTATCTCTCCATTGGTTCCTGGTATTGTCTGCCATTCAGTCACCAGCACTGAATGAGCGCCTCCTCTGTGTGGGCTCTGAGCTGGGAACTTGGGGTCACAGAGACAAATCAGACAATCCTTCAAACTCTGTGCTAAAGAGCACTGGACACTTAGGTGCTGGCTCTGTTGTGCCAATAACTCCCTGTGAGGCACAGGTTAGGATGCTCCCCCAACCTCTGCTTCAGGGTTGGCCCCCAGCTGCACAGAGAAGTTTTAGGCCAGATCAGAAGAGGGGAGGCAGAGCAACCCCAAATGCCTGTAACAGGTCTGGCATGTAATGGCAGAGAAGACCGCAAGTGGGGAACTGAAAGCACGTGCTCGGTCTCAGCAGGAGGCACACTTTATGCTGCTTGATGAGGAAACGCGGTCCCTATGGGGCTGGATCTCCTGATGTTTCAAATAAAGCTGGAAATCTGCTTTTTATGTGAAAATTCCTGGTTTTAAATGATGCCAACTAATTCTAAAATTGAATTTCTAATTCAACCGCTGAAGGCCAAATGAAACATGTCCTCTGGGGGGGCCTTTTAGTTTAGGATGTGATGGTTAAGATCAGGTGGAGGGACAGCTGCTCAAGGCCGTGATGGGGACAAGTGGGACAACTGCCCAGGGACGATGGGACAAGTGCCCACAGGAGAGGAGGCGCAGGTTTGGGAGGGAAGCAGAGTTTGGATTGGACTCTCAGAGTGTGAGATTCACATGGGTGTCTGGGGGTGATGCAGGCCTCCAGGAAAGTGTTCCAGGCTGGAGAGCGGGGGTGCGGGGTGTCTGGACTTGCCAGAGCAGAGTGTACATGTTTCTCTAGCTCTTGCAAGGCAGGCGCAGCCTCTGCCCCCTCCCTTAACAGCCCCGGGTCTATGAACTGCAAGGGCATGCTGCCTAGGTCGTCCTCCACATACTGCAGTGACTACAGGGGAGGCCTGAGGGGCCAGATGGGTGAGCACAAAGAGGAGAGAGGCATGGGAGTGGGGCTGGGAAGGACCCAAGCTCTGGATTTCCCATCAGTAGGCCCTTCCATTCTGCCTTTAGGGAACATCCCAACAGTGCATCCCCCTCATGCAAGCCCTTCCAGGGGGACCTCGACCCTCAGCTCCCACTCCTGGAGCAGAGAAGCACCAGCTGGGGGCATTTGCCAGGGAAATGTACCCAAATGGCTCAGCCACCCACCGGCCTCACCACTGCTTGGGCTTGGGAGATGAAAGGATGCAAATTCCCCCAGGCTTCCAAGCGGAGCTCAGGACAGAGGATGTAGGGCTGGCTGAATTGTTGGGTCCGCTCTTGGGGCCTCAGAAAGAGGCACGGGCCTTTGGACGAAGATAGCCATAGCACTTTCCCCAGGTGGCCCACAATCTGAATGAAAACATGGCCTTCAGAAGCCTCTATCTCAGTTGGGAAAATATGCCCCTGCCCCACAGAGCTCTCTGTCTGAGGGGGAGCCCCAGTCTGTTGGGGAAGCATGACTATTCCTGAGGAAGCCCCATTTTGAGATGTGGTGGGATTAGGCCCTTC